ACACAATGATTTCATTATCACTCATTATCTACAAAATTATTTAAAAATTTAAATAAACAAGATGCTCAGCAAATTCCAGGAAAACCTGAAGAATTAACATCTTTGAAGGTTTCCTTCTTCACAGCTTTTATAAAAAGTTACATTAATGTACCTTGCATGTGTAGAATCAATTTGAATTACTAAGAATTTTGTTTATTATGAAACATTAAAACTGTAATACAACTGTGATTAGGCAATGTCTCAACATTGTTGTTCTTACACCAAAGCACATATTTCATTTGCTGAATATATTGAGTACTGAGTTGACTCCCGAGAATATAGTACAAGCACATTTTCTTCTGTACCTATACTTATTTCAAAGATACCACCACAAACCTCCCTGATAATAAAAATTGATGAATGAGAAGTATGAAAGCAAGAGAAGCCGAGATTCGACGGTAACATCAAGGATAAATGGAGTCTGGTCTTGAATAAATGCAAAGCATGGAATAAAGAGATGTGGCTGGGGTATAATGATAGAAAGACAGAATGCATGTACATACCGGCCAGAAGGTATGGATGACCCCCGGTCGTGAGAATGAATGAGAGGGAGATCGAGATTAAAATGAGTGTGAGATACCTGCAAAATTGTGGTGGAACTAGTCATAGAATAACACAAGGAGGTTACAAAAAAAAATGTGCACACTAGCAGAAAAAATGCGAAGATGGATCGGTCGGAATATTGGACTTGGGAGAGATTGTGTTAGAGTAATATATGAAAGGGTAGCCAAACCTGCGGCTATGTATGGAATGCAGGTGTGGGGGAGTAGAGTGCATTATAGTAAAGTCAGGGGACAATTGAGCGCGGCGCTGAGGACTTTTCTGGTCGCCTCATGTAGGGCGTAGAAGACGACTCCGTCGGCGGCGCTAAGCGTGATCTCAGGAATAGCCCCACTTCACGTCGAAGTCAGCGACTGCTTTACAGATTCTGCAGAATAGTTGGGTATGAATCTGTCAAGGAAGGCTGTTCAACTGTTCATAGGGCATGGTAACTTATCAGGTATTTGGCCAGGTTCAATCTGGAACTGGAGATGCTATGCCCCTCTGGCTGGAGGGTTTTGGAAAACGACAGCGCATGTGATTGAGAGTTATATGAATGGAGATAAGGTTGGGTGGCGTGAGTGGAAAGAACGGTTAGTACAAGAACATGGAGGAATGCAAGTAAGAAGTGGAAATGGAAAGAGAAATGAATAGATATGTGTTGCAAATGAATGAGCAGAAAGCGTAGTAAGGAATGAACGAGAAGAATGAATGGCAAGCTGTCAGCCTACCGATTTGAAGTCCGGCATGAAGGAATTATGATCCCCCTCAAATCCAGTCATACATTTCGGGTGATAAGGAACGTGACCTGATATCTGAAACTCACATGTCAAATTTTCTGGAAGTCAACATGTTAATTTTTAGAATAGTTTGATTCAAGTAATTTTGGTTTATTTTGTTTTGTTAAAGTTATGGAAACTCTAGGAGTTTCCATAACTATTTTATTTTAATGTTATATAATGTGCTGATGTATTTGTTGGGAATGAATAAATTGGTTCGTCTACCCTGATGGTTTCGTTCTCCGTGTGGCCGAGGTTACGGGCCTGCTGAACGACAGGGGATGAGTTCGGAGGAGTAGGGGTTCCCTTGGCAGTGGTGGCGTTAGACAGAAGAAAGATGTCCAGTTGTGCGGTTTGTGAGGCATGTCAACGAAGGGAAATGGCATTATTCATGTACCTATATTTATTTCAAAGGTACCACCACAAACCCCCCTGATAATCAAAATCCAGTTAAAATACCAATGTGATCTACTTTCCACCCAAATGATAAAAAATGCTACAATATTTTTCAACATACAAGTCCTTTCACCCTTCATTGTATTGACAATAAACATTCAATAGAGTTATAAAATTTTCACTTGCAGGACAGATTGGTTAGAATCCACAAGCCTCATTTTGTGGTTTGAATAAAGTTTTCTGGCAAAAGATCGATAATTTGATGAAAATAATAATTATGACAATTTACTTTTCCTTCCGTTTGTCAGTAAGTGGTTAACAATGTTTCTGGTGGAATGCGATGTTCGAACTTCGAGGAACTAAAAAAAGGTGTTAAGTAGAGGTTGGATTGAAATATTTCATAGAGACGAGACATCTCATACCTCACTTGAAGTGATCTAATGATATTTACGCTATCTATGGGTGCATACTTATATGTTTGTGCATATCTTTTATGTGGTGTTCATTTACTCTTTCAATTTATATTAAGAAATGTATTTGATTCTAGTATAAATATGTATAATACATTTTGTATGTTAATATAACTGAATGTTTTTTTGACAAAATAAACAAAGAATCTTCTTTACCTATTCTGGGTAATGCAGCCTTCTACATTTCGGAAAAATTGAAAACTGTAACTTTATATATCAGTAGAATGGGAAAACTTCAAGTTTACTCAATAAGTTATCTACTGCATGAAAATTAGTACATTGTTCTCAAAGAAATATAGTCTACTTATCAGTAACTTGCATATTTTTTCCTAATAAACAAAAACAGCTAAACATTTCAATAAACTCAGTCTTGACGTTTTGAAAACAAAACCCGCCTTTCTTCAGAATCCATTGAAAATCGTAGACCCGAAAAAGTGAAAATGACTGTACCCACTAGATATTTGTAATATAGCAAAAAACATTTTTCAAAAGATTGTTACCTGATATCAAAATAAAAGGAGTTAGAAACTCAAATACCTTTATGTCATTCACACTGTAAGCAGCTTCTTGGGTAGTTTCAGAACTGTAGAAGTGTTGAGTTTAGTGTTTAGAACCCAGTAGTCCCAGGTCCAATTTCAGGTCATATCATCCAGGGAAACAACACAAACAAATAAAGAACAATATTTTTTCACAGCCTATTTTTTTAAAAATCTGACTATTTCACTTTCACATATTTTATGTTCGAATTTGAAATTGAGAAAGTGGTATTACTAAACTTTCAAATAAACAGAAGAGAACAATCAAGATACGAAAGTATCCCAACAATTTCCTATTTTCTCATCCTACTTTTGACAAAAATGTGACTACTTCAATTTCATATTTTTTGTTTTTGAATTCAATTTTCCTTTTTAATTGTCACATTTTCAAACAACTGAACCTCCACCTTTCAACATTATCAACCCCATTTAGACAAACAAAAAACACATTATGAGGAAGGTTGTGCATATATGACTTAGTGTCAAAAAATCAAATGTTCCTAATTTCCAACAATATATGATTTTAGAGATGTAAATGAAACATCTATGAAAATGAGAAAACTGTCCTGCGGGACATTATAACACTGAAAAAATACAATATCTAAATATTTAAATTGGTGATTAATTAATTCAAAACAAATAAAAATAATATGGTTCACATCATAGATTGTTCCATCATGTAGACATGGTTGAGCCCTATTGGTATTCTTAAAAATCTCAGGCTTACATGAGTACCTTTTTCGAGGTAGAATATCAGCTATAAATAACTAGATCAGTACTGTTTCACAGAGCATTTCAGATATCAGAAATCTTTTAAAATTTCAGAAATTTTTCAGTTAAATTCATCATCTCGTCCAAATATCATCCATGGCCTTATCAGACAAATATTTTTCAGGCAAAGCTCTAAGTGTTTTCATAGTTTCCAAATAAAAAATTATTTCAGTAGTAACTACACCGTGTTGGGGTCCTCCATTATTTTTTATGTTCATCCTTGCCAGATGATCCCTTATTCGAGTTTTGAAATTTTTGTGAACTACTTCATAGATGTCGTTAACCTGAAAAATGTATATATTTAAAATATCATCCTTGGAATATAATCAATTAAAGCTGTAAACAATATTTTAACTACTTATATCTAGGAGAGATACTTATGTTGTGAATTGGGTTTATATGAAATATGCCTCCCTTATATGGTCACCCATATACAATATCCACATACACAAAATCGAGTCTATACAAATGATACTGGCTTCATTTCACTGCATTCAGGATGCATTGCCTCTCCACCATCCACCTTTACCATCCACCCTCCAAGCGACCATCTAGCATCCTGCAGTGCGGCCCCGGGTTTATAGCACATTGGAAGGTGGTTGTATGTTTTCTTGCTCTCGTATATTAAAAAAAAATTGTTATTGCTGATTTTGGGATTGGCAAGGGTAAATTTCGACTTCGTCTGTCATTATTTGCTGCTGAGTTGGAGTATTTTTTGTGAATTAGGCAAACGGTTTCTAAAAGGAATAAACAAGCTACAGTAAACATTTTCTGACTGATGTGTGATTTGTGATTTTGCCTTACATATGTATATGACAGCCCTTTTTTGTAGAACGAATACTGAATTTAGTAGTTGCTGACTACAAAAGGCAATTCCATATCTCAAGTGCGACTCTATCAAGGAATGAAATGATTTATCAATGGCCTCAACAAGAATATTTGAAGCGTATTCTGGGAGATTTTCCAAAATTTTAACTGATATTTCATCGTAACCAGATTATGTTTTGTTCTTTATTTCATTTATAGTTTGCTTCAGTTCGTATATGTCTGTATCAAATAGGTGAAAGTTATCTGGAATATTTATATTTTTCATGGATTGTCGGTTGTAATTCTGATGTTATTTTTTGTGCTATCGTACAGTAGAATTTGTTCAACACGTTAGGATCTATATTCGCATTAGTAGGCAATATCACGTAATTTATTTATTATAGCCCAGTTATCTTTTGCTTTATTTTTAGCCTTGTATAGTTTCTCTTCAAAATATCGGTGTTTGGCAAGCTTTATTAGTTTTCTATGAATCGTTCTGTATGTATTGAAATACTCGTATGATATGAAAATTTGATCAGTTATGAATTTTTTAATAGTATGTAGTGATCTCAAGTTTATTGCCGATTTTTTTATACCTTGGGTTATCCAGAGCTGTTATTTGGAAAATAACATGGTTCGTCCTCTCTTAGCCAGTGTTCAGTGAGAAGAATGAAATCTGGCATATTCTGTGATTCAAGATAAATCAAGAGTTCATAAGTTTTGTTTCTTACTGATTGGATATTAAGTAATAATTAAGAGAGGGTAGTTTTGATATTGGCACATTGTTTTTTGGTTCTACTTTTCTTCCCAGTTGGTAAATTTAAGCATGCTCCAGTTCGCTCTGAAGCATTCACGTAATTTTTTCATATTATCTCACCTTCTCACCTTTTTATATGTTTCCAAGAACTGAAGATGATTCTGTCTGAGAAGACCTGCCACTAAGCTAACAAGCCGTTCTTGTTCCAAAACACCTTCATTTGACTCTAGTGGACGATGAAGATCTGCAGCTGCATATCGTTCAAACTCTGTGCTAAGCATTTTATCTATTAGTTTTAGCATTTCCTTCAGTTGTGAGGGTAGATGCCTTAAGCTTGTTACCTTCAAAATAATAAATAGTTGCTAATAACCAGAAATGTATCTATGTATATTATCTGAAATATGTATGGCTTGATAACTGAAAAAATATAATTGTTTGTTGAATAATGGATAGGTGGGTTTTTTGAATTTTTGATTTGTTACTTTAAAATTGGTTTCAATAATAATCTTTACATGATACTGTTTACATTCAGAAATGCAAGTCA